ACTAAGGCAACATTGCCTGCAAGGAGTGGAAGTCAGGGATCATCATGCCAGTGAGGATGAAAACAGTGAGCTGCTGTGGTCAGTGCTTCTGAGCCTGCAGTTGGTGAGGGGCTAAAATAGGCTGTATTTCATGGATGTGGGTGACCAAGATAACAAGAGCTCCTGACTGTTACCTGCCCTGATACAGCTCCAACAGCACACTCTCACAACACTGGACTGAGTAACCCCAATATGAAGTATTTACAGCTTTGCAGCTCATTCTCCTGGGAGGGTGTGAGGAAATGCAGGCAAGGCTTGTTGGGAGGGATGGGAATGGCCACTTGCCCACCACTCCCCTGGCAGCACACGGATTGAACTGCTGTGAATGTTCTGCCTGAGTGAAGAAACCTTTCCCAGGAGCAGCCTGATGAGCTCAGCACGGAGCTGCACGGCCAGATGGCTCCTGGGCCAGAGCTGACTCACGGCCACACAGCTCAGGCAGGCAAAACACCCCGGTACCTGCAGGAGTCACCGCAGCACTGCTGCACCCGCGCTCACAGCCAGGCAGCCCCATCGGGAGAAACCAAAGGTGTCCTGCCAACTGCCATAATTACAACGTTGCAGAACTGAAACGGTGACGGGCCCGAGTTACAGGAACAAGCAGAAAAGCACCAGCCTGATGAACTCCCAACCCAGCCCCGAGAAGGTACGACCACCGAGGGAACAGAACAGAGGCAACTCTTCCATTCTCGCAGTGGCAAGGACGGCGAGTGCAAGCCGTGGATATTAAGGGAAGGGTGATGGATTCAAACAGTGCAGCAGTGGCCTCACAGAGAACTAGGGACTTGGGTATCTGCTTTTCACTAAAGCAGTGTTTATCAGCCTCTCCAACTGTTTTCCAGACTGGCTGGGCTTCTTAGTGAACTACAGATTGGGAAACATGAGCTCTGTCCAGTCTCTGCTGCAGACCACCATTTTCAGAGTAGTGAATAAAGGTAAAAAAAAAAAAAAAAAAAGAAGTGAAAAGAAAGAAAGGTGAAGTGTAGCCAAAAATCCACTTAAATTGTGGGAGGGAGGCTGCACTGGCAAAGCTGTGAACTGGCAGCATTAGCGGGTGATAAACGTGGCCATGTTATCTAATGTGGCAGAACACACATCATGCATTTTTAATAGCATTGTTTAGCTTCTATTTGTCACAGCATCACAGCTAGAGGCTGTTTCTAAAGCCATGGGAAATAACAGAAAGGTTATAATTGAATTGTAGGGCTTTTGACTGGAAGTCATGCACACAGAAACCCACAAAGCATTGGTATAAGATCTCCATGTATTCCCTGTTTTCAGATCTCAAATGAAAAGTAAGTCAGCTGCAGCAGTATTTATTGAGGGTTAATCAGGTCTGCAGATTAACTGTAAGATTCTGAATTCTAGCTGCTTATATGCAAACACGAGGCACATGCAACACATGTAGCTGAGACATGAAAAATGAAGTTTATGATGGATGCAGAACACATGGATAACATTAGCTATGGAAGAAAGGAAGGCTATCCACCATCCAGTGATGATGGATAAGGGGTTCTGTCATCTCTTCAGAGCAGGTATTTAAGCTCTGATCACTTCTCCCTAGAATAGCAAATGCTGACTCACGAAGGAAACGTTGGTAATTATTTTTGCATTGTAATAATGTCTCCAAAACCTACTCAGAAATGAGCATCTGCTTCACTCCCAGACATGCAAAGTGTCTCCATATGGTTGGATGCCTATGGAACCCTTGAACCAGAGCTGCAGATTCTCTCCACTGTTTTCTCTCTGCAGAAAGAAACATAATCAAGCTAACAAAGAGAGCCTGGTGCCTGAGCAGGTAGAAGGCTTCAAGAGCTTTACTTTGGTACAGCTTAACACTTCACATGCACACTGAGCTTTATGCATACATCTCTCTGCAGGTTGGACTGGGCCTCCTGCTGTGGGTCACTGTTTCCAGCCCCACACTCCATGAATCTGAAGGAAATTGGGGATGTTGCATGGGGGCTGTGTGAGTACCTGGCACATCATTTCTCCAGCAGTTTCGAATCAGGAGGCCACGTCTTGGCCATTTTCTCCTGGATGAACTACAACACCCAGCAGGCTGAGCTCGGCTTGGATTACAGCCCTCCCTCCCTGGAGGTTGAAAGAGGCGAAATGTATCTTTTGGGAACGCCAATGGGAAAATGAGAGCAGCTCCCCTCCCCTGCTGTCTGGACGGCAGGTGTGCCTTTCCCCTTCGCAGGAATGAAACAAGGAAATTCTGAAGTAGAACAAAGCCCTCTCAGAGAAAAACACGTCCCCAGAGCTGCGGCGTGAGCTGAGACAGACACACTGGAGTTCAACTGGGTCTGCTGGAGAGAAGGTGGAGGTGTCAGGCTGGCACCATAAAAAGCTGGGTAAACATGATGCCCAAGAAGAAATCGTGGAAGCAATAAACCTAATAAAATCCTGTATCAGTGTTTCCAGCAGGATTTTTATCTCCTGTCCCATTCTCTACAAGTGCTCACATGCCATGGGACCACCCCCACTTGCAAAAGCACTTACCATTCAGGGCCTCTGAGGAAAAGGGCTGCTGCTCTTAGCAGTAACTCCACTTCAATTGTTATTTATTTTCATCTTTCAAACACTGCATATACATTGGCTAATTATATCTCTTTGATGACTATTTATGTCTTTGCTTGCCTCTGCTGTCCACAGTCACGTTCTTCCCCTGGAAGTGCCTATACCAAACTTCCTATTGGATGTGTCAAAGGCTGGCTGGATTTTGCCTAAGCTTCAAAACAGCTACATACTTGCAAAAAAGAAAACCCCTCATATGACCTTTCTTCTAACACTGGGAGGATATTCGTGCAGCAGAACTCCTTGTCAGTGTGAACACAGGATGACTTTAATTTCCTAAGAGAAATCTAAAGAGAAAACTTACATCAGAATGCTCTTTGACTACAACAAACATAAGATCAAGAAAATACTGGGCAAACCAGGCTTTATTTATCACTGAAAATTAGATAGCAAGTCAGCCACTACAGTCCTCTTAAAGCCATTTAGCCATTTGGATCATGATGCATAAACAACAGAAACCCCATTTTCTGTCCTTTTCCAAATGCAGTAATGGGGACTAAAAAGTCCAGTCAAAACTAACAAAATGACACATAGTAAATGTACCCCAGCGTATGATTATTAATATACATTATAAGAAGCCAGAAAAAAAAAAAAGAAGCATTTTCTCACTATTGAGGCTTCAGAGGGGATTAGCAAAGGGATTTTCTTTACACTAACCACTAAACAAAGCTGTGAGCAGACGCCACACCTCCACAGTCCTAAGGTCACCTCTTATCTGCTCAACCGCTCCCTTGCAGTTATTTTAACCTGAAGCCGTTCCAGCTCATGATTCCTTGTGGAGGGTTTCAGTCAGGTTGTGAGGGAGCGCACTGAGGGTGCAGGGGCCATGTGGGAAGTGGCCATTCCCACCTGCCACCCGGGGATTCCCAGCGGCAGCTCCAGCGCAGGAACCCTCTGTTCCAAGCCCAGCCCCGCCACCCGCAGTCCCTGAGCGCGGCCCGGGGGGTCCTGTGGCACCCACAGCCCCGGCCCGGCCCGGCCCGCGCAGGCCCGGCGGCGGCGGGAGGCGGGGCCGGCCCAGCTGACACGGGCGGCGGGCGGGGCCGCAGTGCGCGGAGCCGTCGATCGCCGCCGCAGCCCCGCGGCCGCAGCTCGCCGTGAGCGGGGGCTCCCAGGGGGGAGCGGGGACGAAGCGGGGCTGGGGGAGGGTGGATCGGCGGGGCGGATGGGGAGGGAGGGACAAGGCCACCGCCATGTCCGGGGGAGCGGGACGGGCGGGGGCGGGACTCGAACCGGCGGCTGGACGGGGGGTTCAGACTCGAGCTGGGGCAGGCGGGACTCGCAGCCGGGTCCCCCGGGGAGGGGGCTCGCGGGACCCCCCGCGGCGGCCGCGCTTCTCCCCCCCCCCATCCGCCGCTCCCCCCCCCGCCGCGCGCGCGGGGCCGGACGTGACTGGCCGTGTTCAATTTGTCACGCGGCCATTGGCTGGCGGGGGCGGGCGGCGTGTGACGTCAGCGCGCGGCGCGGCGCGGCCGGCGGCCATTTATAGGCGCGGAGCGGGCGCTGCGCATTCGGAGCTGAGCGAACGGCATCGAGAACGCTCCGCGGTCGCATCGCGCCTCATCCCCGCCGGGAGCGCCCAGAAACCACCCAGGCCGCCGCGAGCCACCTTCCCCGGCCGCCGCTGAGCTTTTTTTTGTTTCCGTTTGTCGCGCAGCGCCCGAGCGCCCCCCCCTTCCTCTCCCCACCTCCGCCCAGCTTTGTTCTTCTCACGGGCCCTGCGGGGAAGGCGCGGCCAGGATGGACCCTTGTCACACCGAGGAGACCGAGGGCGAGATCCCCGGCTTGGGTAAGGCCCGGCGGCGGCGGGGGGGGGGAGAGGGGCCGGGAGGGAAGGACTGGGGGGGAGGGAGGGGAGGCCGGTCTGTCCCGGAGGTGCCGCGGAGGCCCCGCGATGGCGGCGGGGCCGCTGAGGGGGCTCGGCCCGGCCGCGTGCGCAGCTCAATCCCCAGCTCAGTCCCCAGCGTGCGTCGTGCGGGCGGGGCCGGGCCGGGGGGGGCTCTCCGGGGTCGCTGTCCCGCCTCCGCCGCGCCCGCGGGTCCCTCCCCGCGCGGGGGGGGGGGGGGTGGGGGGGGGGGGAATTGGGGTGCGGGGGGGATTGGGGGATGAGATCGTAAACGAGATAAGCGCAAATTACAGTTTATTACAGGTCTAACGTCCAGTCTTAAGTAGCGTTAAAGCCGGTGGGAACGGCCACGCGATTAAGCAGAAGTTGAAAGTAAAGGTTTTTCTGGACGCCATAACAGTCTCGTCTTAAAATGGTGAACCCGTGCCAGTTATTGCAAAACAACCCAGCTCAGCGCCTGCTATCTGTTTACTGGGTGTCAGCCATTGACAACCGCTGAGCTCCCCCGCGGGGACAAACAGCTCATAGGCAGTAGGATTTTTAAGTCTTTATTAAACAGTGGAGAATACACAGGAAAAACATTATCGAAGCGCCCCATATTTGTTCGTTTTAGCTATACAGAAAATTATCAAACTCACCGAAGTCAGACAAGGGAAAAAAAACCGCAAATGATATTTTACATTTCAGTTTTGCCTTAAAATAAGCTATACAGGTAATGCATTTGGTTAAAGTAAATTCTTGAACACACTGATTAAGTCTAAATCTGGAACTTCAGGGACTTGTTGTTTAAATTAATTTTCATCTTCTTAAGAAGTCAGGAAAGACTTGACCTGTCAAGAACAAAAAAGTATATATAATATTTGATGTATTAAAAGCTGAAATACCAGGCTTTTCCCTTTGTTTGGAAACAAATGGTTTGTTACTATACAGTTTCCAAGGATGTTTTGCCCCTGCATTTTTAATTCATGACCTGAAATGCTGGTGGCCTTTCAGAGGGGCAGGGTTAAAGGTGGCATGTCTGAGTGTAGTCTGTACAGAACTCTAAGCTGTTAATTGCTAGTTTCTATGAGGATATAATAAGAAATACCTCCACAACTGAACATTGTGCTCCCCTTCCTGGTTTATTTTGAACTATTTAATGGGAGGGATTAGGTTTGAAGGAGTCATACTGCAGTAATATCAAACTGATGACCCAGAACAAGATGGGGGAGGGTTTGGTAGAAGAGCACATCCCCAGGCTTTACAGGAGTTTTGTTTGTTTGTTTGTTTTTTTGCTACAGCCTGGGCACACAACACACTGCTCCAGCATTTACTCCCTAAGTCTTGCCTTTCCTTGGAACTGGTAAACACCATTTTAACTCAAGTGACCTCTTTACTGCCACCTTGTTTCCTCAAATGGCTGTTTACCTTCCTTCCCAACTCTACTTGGAAGTCTTTTGGAACTCTTCAGGAATCTGAGCCCTGTGTATAACCTTTGTCAGATGTGTTGTGTGAGAGGGTAGAAAGATCTCGAAGGAGAATGATTTTGCAAGCCTCAAACAAGCATTTCATCACAAATTTTAAGAATGTAAATTGATAACTACAGAAAAAAAGCAGATACAGAGAAACAATATTAGCTACTTACCTTATCGATCAGGTACTCCTGTTTAATCTCATCATTCTTAAAATCTTCATTAACATCCAAAACTAGAATAGGAATCTCTTTAAGGTTCTCAAAATCAACTCTGTTAAATGGAAAAACATGGCATAAAGTATTGTGCATAAGACTCCAGCTCTTTAGTTGCTTTCCAAGGGTGCAGCATTAGTCAGATTACCACGTGCACCTGAGATGTTAATGCTGGTGGCCATGACTTAAGTGTAAAGCCCAAGTCAAGTTTGTCCTTAATTGCTCTTGTGTAACCCAGTCAACATGGTATCACCACAACTTCCATAGATTTCACAAATCTGGGCTCTTAGTATCTATTTGTTACGTACAAGTGGGAGGAAAAGATAGTTTTTTACTTTAGCTTTCTTTATCCCATTCTTTTTGTCACAGAATCAATCATCAGGAATTGATTCTGTAAGAGTGAGTATTTTTTTTAAAGTATCACCCTGAGTCTTCCCCCACCTAATCCATTTACTGATATGCATTTTTAAAGCTTCCTTGCATGGGGATGGCCTCTTTAACAGGTTATAAGACCGATATTTAAAATGTCTTAGAGATAAGCAAAAGACCATTTTGGCTTCTGTGCAACTGGATGTGTTTTTCTCTTCAAGCAGTAGTTATTCTTCTAAGTGTGGAAATGTAGTAAGTGTGCTGAACAACATTCTAACTTGTGCTTGCAGACTTCAAGTGATTCTGTGAAAAACACAGGAAATGCTTGCTTACAAGTTGGGAATGAGTACACAACATACACATTCCCAAAATTCCACACTATGTGCTGCCTTCTGTCTCCAAAGCATTTGGGTAATCCTACATCAAACTTAGGAAAGTAGATGTGACTGATAATGTACTTTTCCTAGAACTGTAGTGCTTCTCAGTCAGTAGAGTATTTTGGGCTCCTTTAGGGGAAAACCTGAAGTCTGCTTTCACGTTTAGAGATCCCTTAGATGGGAAAGCTGGTAAGAATAAGGAAGTTGGGGCAAGGTGTGCAGAGATCACTCAGTTGCTGATTGGATTTGTGTGTAATAGTGTCTGCCAAAAGCCTTTCTGATTAAATATTAATCCTGGCTTCAAAATAAACTAAACTTTGTTGAAATATAGTCCTGCAAGTTTAAAGGTAGTTGGGACCTTGCCCCCCCATGCACTGGAACACAAAGCTGCTTAGTAAGTGACTTCTGTGATTGGCCATCGAACACTATTTTATCTGCCCTATTCCTGTGCCCTTCCAATTAGCAAAATCCATATCCTTGCTGGAGTTACAGCTATAAAGCTTCCTAGTTGGAGCTAATGCTTAACAAAGGTTTCAAATTAGATGAAGCTCCATCTTTAAAAACTGAGAAGTGGGTCTAAAAATAAATCCTTTCAAGTGTGCCTGAGTGAAGCTAGACTTAAACTTTGGTTTTATCAGCTTTAGTATAAAGCTGGAAGAACCTTGCCTGCAAGTTGAAACTTGCTACAGAAAATGGGTTCCTACCTCATAGTCCTTTCATGGAGCCAGGTTTCGTGTTTATAGTGGAGGTTTTCCAAATACTCAAGCTCAATTCCTTGTTCCTCTTCTCTTCCCCTCATCTGTAGCCTTTCCATGCATTTCTGGAAAAAGAAGTATAAATGTGGTCATTAATCATGTGTTGTAGGTTAAATCAGCTCAAAGGATCAAGTGGTCCTTAACTCAGGAGGACTAATGCTGGACATTAGTGAGCATTAATTTTAAATGCTTGGCTGAACATAAACAAGTTAAGTCTGTAATAACTTTTTTTTACCCTCTTAAGCCCCTGGAAAATGAAGTTGGAACTGAAAAACTTTCACCTTCAGTGAGCATACCTGGGGTGTGGTTCTGAGGTAGATCATGCCATCCAGTTCTATATCTGATTGAAACTGGTTCAAGAGCCATGTGTGCCAGTCCTGATAAATAGACCACTCTGTTTCATTAATGTTTCCAGACTCAAACAGGTTAGAAGCAAATACGTATCTGCAATGAAAGACAGCAGTCTCAAGCCAGGAATGACAAAAATGAACTACCAAAACACTTGTCACTAGAACAGAAGCATGGTACTGAAAAACGTCTGCCCTTAATCAAGCCTGCTCCCTGCAGGTATTATTTTAATATCAAGTGTTTCTCCAGCTCTGTGTCTTTAAAGACCTGGAGCTATTAATGTGAGTTCTTGCTGTGCTGTGAGAATAATTACCTGTCACTGTACACAGATCTCTCAAAAAATTGCACTGGATGTTCTGCTTCCTGTAGCTTTGCTGAGACTGGTTTTAACTGTGCTCTTACTCGGCTCAAGCAAGCATAAGTCTGAAAGGTGTAAGCCCATCTTGTGGGTTTGTCGTACAGCATTTGAAGCAGATTTCCTCCGCTCTTCTGAGATGTTGAAAGTTCCTAGAAGGCAAGAGAAAAAAATTCGATGCCAGCATATTGGCAGGATTTTATTCCATTTCCTCAATCTGGAATTCGGGTTTGTTAAAGTGAGAATTCATAGACTTGCTTTTTTTGTGTGTGGGGTGGTTTTTTTGTGGTTTTTTTTTTTTTTGTAAGGAAAATGCTTAGGCATAGGATCAAAGAGACTTTTCTGTCAGGTGATTGTAGCAGTCATAACTGATTCTTGGTTGGTTGTCGAGTTCCACATTTTAGTGTGATTCTGTGGAGTAGGGATATGATTTGGAATATACATTCAGTAGTATCTTGCCTTAAGATTTCTGAGTGCCTGACCACCTGGTATGATAGTGGGGACGACTCTGGCTACTGCAGACTAAGTACGGTTGGATTTTGGCATAGCTCCCTCATCACAAAACTCCTTGCAGTTTGGTTGTCCTGACCCACATCCCACACACCTACCTGATACTCATCCTCGGCTGTCTGGACATTGCACCACTTGGCGATGGGCTCGGGGATGATCTCCCACTCATCGCTGTGCTTCTCCAGCAGCCTGACAAACGTTGACTTCCCTGCAGCTGCAGGAGATATGAGGAGTTCACTGAGGGTTGATCAGAGCGGTGGTAGGTGAGGGGTACAGGGGCAGCGGTGAGGTTTGTGAGGGGCAGTCGGTGCGGCATTGGGGGCGCGGGGCTCCCGGGGCGAAAACAGCGCTAATCTGCGGCACCAGAAGGGCCGCGCCCGGGCCGGGCGGGCGATAAGACACCGAGCCGACATTTTAGGAGCTTTGGCGGCGGGCGGAGCTCGGCGCGGCCGGCGGGGGGAGCGCGGGAGCGGCCGCGCAGGCGCCGGGAATTGGCGCGGGCGGGAGCGAACGGGCAGCGCATCCCGGCGGAGTTCATCTCCACAGTCTCCCTGCGCCTCGGGGGCACCGACGGGCACCCGGCCGTGGCGGTGGTTTCCCGACGTGGTCCCGACCCCGTTCTCCCTGCAGAGCCCCTCGCTGCCCGCAGAGCCGGGCGGAGAAGCCCCGCATTGCCCTCTCCCCTCCTCCTCCGCCATCCCAGCCCCTCGGCGCGCTCCTGTGCTGCCCCCCCGGCCGGCCCCTATCCCGCGCCGCCGAGCTCACCGATGTTCCCCTCGATGGAAACTTTCCTGAGGCGCTTCTGGAAGCTGGAGTCGAGGGAGCCGGCGGGGCTCTGGCGGTGCCGCTTGGCGGGGGTGGACATGGCTTTTCGGAGCGGGAGCCCAGGGGGTTCCCAGCAGCTCCCGCGCAGTTTTAAGTATCCCGCCCGCCGGTGGGCGGGATGGCCGCTCCCCGGGAAGAGGCGGAGGCGCTGCCCCCTCCCGCCGCCCCTTGTACCCCGCTCCTGCCGCCGCGGGATTCCGAAATGGGCGTTCGGCGGCTGAAATGGGGCAGGGCAGCTTTGTGCGGGAAGTGACTAACGCGGTTCCACTGACTGAGCAGATTTGCATTAGTGCAAACGACTGCGCTCTGTGCTCGATTTACAGAAGTATCCTAAGTATGCGGGATTTTTTTGTTTTGCTTTGGTTTTTTAATTTTTCAAAAATCCTCCAGCTGTGGCAGTTCGGTAGTTGTTAGTGGTCCAGATCGGTGTTTTTAAAGTAAACACCTCAAGGACTTGCATGAGAGATGAGGCCATGTAGGTTTGTAATCCTTTTTGGTACTGACTGGAGAAGAAACATGCATGGATGAATGATGTTCATCCAGAGGCAGCTCTGAGCAGCTTCTGGGCTGTAATAATAAAATAACCTGTGTCAGGGGCTTTACGGAGCCTGCTCACCTCTGGGCACTATTCCCCTACCCCCTGCGTGGGCAAGTTGAAACATGAGCTGCTTGTTCTTTCCAGTGGAAGGAGAGGGCATGGAGGATTTTTAGATGGTGAGTTACTCCTGTAACTCCTGCCTCTACGAGATTCAGGGTGAAATCTAGCCAGGTCTGGTGTGTTTGGAGGAGACGGGAGGGAGTAAACTTTTCCTTTCTTTTATGATAATTGTGACCCATTGTCTCTTCTCTCCCCATCTCCTCCAAACACACCAGGCTTCAGTGACCGAAGCGAGCAGATTGTTTCACGTGGGGTAGCGTCAGCATTTGAAGCTGGTAAGTGCTAGTTCCCACACACCTCTCTGTGCAGCCAGAGCCCTCTCGCTGTCGGTGCGGGCCGAGTGTCGGCACCGGGACCGGCCCGGGCGGGCGGTGTGAGGGTGAGGGGGGGGCTGAGGGCGTGCGGGGCATGCGCAGAGCGGCGCTCGGGGCACGCGAGGCCGGGGCTTTGTTCGGCGCGCGGGCGGGCGGGCGGCGCGTGCGCACAGGCGCGGACAGGCGGCGGCGCGCGCGGGATGTCCCGGGGGCGGGGCCGGGCCCAGCGCGCACGCGCACGATCCGGCCACGCTGCAGCCGCTCCTCCCGTGAGCGTGACTGGCGCGGGGCTCGCGGCGCTCGGTGCCCTGTGCTCTGTACCCGCTCCACGCACACGCACACACGTCGCTCTCCCCGAACCTGCCGCGGGCGCTGCACCATCGCCGGGGGCCCGCGGGCCCGCCAGGGCGGCGTCCGGGCCCGCGCTCTTTGTGCGGCGGAAGGCCCGGCCCAGCGGAAGCGGGAACACCCGCCGCCATTTCCTAGCGCGCTCTCGCCACAGGCTCGCCCGCTCGCTGCCGCCTGACCGGGACTAGGCGCTCTCCGGACAGCGGATCAGGCTCGGAGCCCTAGAACCAGCGCGGAGCCCCACCATGTGTGCGTGCGGGGAAGGGGCAGGGCGCGGGCCGGGGGCGGGAGCGGCGCCGTGAGAGTGAGGCGGCAGCGCCCGAGGCAGAGGAGGCTCGGGGAGGGCCAGGGCACAGGCCAGGGGGGCCGCCGGGCGCTCTGAGGGGGTGCGGGTGGCGGCCGTGCTGAGCACGAGTCTCAAAGGGCCCGTTCTGGTCTTCTCCAGCAACCACAGAAGCCGAGACAGAGCAGAGCCTCACCCCCAATGTGATGCTCAACACGGAGAGCAGCGAGGGATATGTGGTGAAAGTCCGGGGACTGCCTTGGTCCTGCTCCACCGAGGAGGTGCAGAGGTTCTTCTCTGGTAAGTGGGGCCGGGGTGGGGGTGTCAGAGAGGGACCAGGCTCTGTTGAGTGGATCGTGCATCCTTCCCGGAGACTGTGCCGGTGGGAGCGCTGCAGGGAGCAGCAGCAGGAATCATTCAGGAGCCAGTGAAGTTTGTAATGCAGCAAGTGCTTCAGGCAGGGCCCGGTATGCAAAGCCATGCTTGTGTGAGCAGGAACTCCACACAAAGGGACTTAGTCTGCACGGTTCTGGGGTGGCCACAGTTGCCTTCACTGCTTGAGCAACCAGGAAAGAGAAGCTTCCATTTTAAAGAAAACTTCAAAATTCTTGCTTGAGATTAAACTATATGAGTTTAATTCTCTGTGTTGTCCTAACAGGCTCTCTTGTGAAGTGTTCACTGTCTATGTCCTTGCCCCGAATTAGTAGCATTCTGCAGTAATGAATAGTAGTGAGAAACACCAGCTTTCTGCAGTGGCTGGAGATTTTAAAGCTGCTTCAGGAATTTTGATGAATTGGACTTGGTTCTGATTTAGTTTATTACACTTGCACTGATTGCTGTTACTTCTTGTTTGTTTTAAGCTGATGAGAAAGTTAAGATCAAAAGCAGTGCATTTAACTTGAGGCAGAGAAGCTTTGAAAATGGATAGGTAATTTGTGGTTGGCAATCTGTAGGTTTGACTAGAAGAGTAACTTAATTTTATTGAGTCCCTTTGGTCATTGTAAGGTTGTAACAAGAATACTGCTGGTTTTGTCATCTTGATACAACTTGATAGTTGTTACATTTTTCTTTTTAGAATATGTGCAACTCATAAAGTCACAATGTTCCTATTATAACTAAATTAATTCTGACCTTCCTATTTGTTTTCAGATTGCAAAATTCTGAATGGGGCTCTGGGTATCCGTTTCATCTACACCAGGGAGGGCAGGCCAAGTGGAGAAGCATTTGCTGAACTTGAATCAGAGGAGGATGTGAAATTGGCCCTGAAAAAAGACAGAGAAACAATGGGACACAGATATGTTGAAGGTTTGACTCAGTTGGTCTCGTAACTGACTTACATGTGTTTGTGCTTGATGGGTTTCTGGTTGATCGTTTCTCTACTTCTTTAAAATGCATGTGGAAGGACAAATGGACTTGTATATGATAAGTTGACTAGTTTCAAGGCAAATGACTTTTAAAACCATTGCTTTTTCCAGAATGCATTAATTCTAAGTGCCTTTTACAGTTTTCAAGTCAAACAACGTTGAAATGGATTGGGTTCTGAAGCATACTGGTCCCAACAGCCCTGATACAGCTAATGATGGTTTTGTACGTCTTAGAGGACTCCCATTTGGCTGTAGTAAAGAAGAAATTGTACAGTTTTTTTCAGGTATGTGGGATAAAAGTAGTAGCAATAGCACTATTGGTTTATGCTAAAGAACCCCCCAGCAAACCAAAGAAGCATGGATTGCCCTGTAGTCCTTCCAACAGTATTTATGGGTATTAAAACTAGATAAATCAATTTTTTTATTAGTTATATGTGCTTGAGGGATCCATTGGATCAATTCCTGAAGTACCTGATCATAATTTAGGGAATGCCAAAGAGCTACTTGAATATATACTTAGTGGGACATATTGTTCCATGTAAGAATTGCAGAAAACAAGTGTCTTGCCTTCCAAATTAAAGTGAACAATTCAGGTGAGAGGATATTTCCACCCCCAGTCTCTGCTGCTTTACCCTGTCAGTGAAGGATGTACAACCTCCTCACCTCTGGACTCTGTGTGAGGAGCAGGATCTGAGAAGGGGCAGGCACTGTGCCCATGGCTTCTTCCAAGCATAGATTTAGTACTGAATGAAATTCCAGAGAAAAACAACCCGTTGAACTCTACCCAAGTACAGATTTGCCCCCTTCTCTTTCTATGTGGAAAGAAAGAAACTCTTGATGTTGCCTAGCTCAAAGTTTTTGTGAATGAAGAGATATTGTCTTATTTTGACTAATTTTTTACTTTTTTTGCAGCTACTGTATGTTTTAGAAACCGGAATTACAAACTATTAGAAATGACTAAGAATAAAAGCTATTGATTTCTTTAGGATTTCATTTTGATAGTATTTTCAAAATAGTAGATTTCTAAATGTTTTGCTATAACAAGATATAATTGAACTTACTGTTTTGCTTTAAAATACAGTAGAAATATTTCCAATTTTACAACTTCAGGACTTGTTTTTTGTTTTCTGAATCGGTGATATGAACAAGCAATTTCTAAGCATGTACATTTTAAGCTGTTTTTTTCTTACTTGGTGAAGTAATTCAAGCTTTAAAAACTGTTAATGTGCTTAATATACAAAATGTGCCTCTTTTGTTCAGGAACTAATACTTTAAATTACTTCATGATTTTTTTCTTAATTAAGCACTCCTAAAGATAAAAAAAAAAATCA